AATCATGCTAGCGCCCTGCAGGCTAAAGTCCAGCTCCCAGGCACAGGGTGCGAGTCTCCTGATGCCCCGATGATGATCCTGCCTTTGACCCTTGGCAATTTCTCAGTTTTTCTTTTGGAACACAGTTGTGCTGCTGTTTCCCTCTGGGTCTGTAGCTCTCATTTCTTTTCTCTTCTTTTTCTGAGTGCACTTCCTCCTTTCTCTTTGCTTACTGTTCACCATTTTGTGCAGTGTCGACTTCTCTGAAGATTCTCCCTTTGATTTTCTGATCCTCACTCGTTTTTTGACCTGGTCCTTGCTAAGTGCCCTCCCTCACCTGTGCTTCCCTTTACTGCTCCTGGTGCGCTATGTTTAGACTCTTCCATGTCCTTCCTTGAGCACTGGGAACGCCTGGCCAGCCGTGAGACTGGATTCTCTTCATCTGTATACTGTGTCAGTCTCAGCATGTGTGTGCTGAACTCAAATGGGGAAGAGTAAGCCTTGAATTATGTGCTAAACTTGTTTTCAGCAAAGCCCTCTAGAAGCTTAGATTTAGGTAAGTGTATATGCACCAAGTCCCTCTGGGGCCCGCAGATTTTGCAGGAGCTTCCTGGGGGCTGGGAAGTTCTCTTTTATGTCTCATAAGCATAATGGCCATGCCTATTACAGAACATTTAAGGAAATGGAAGCAGAGGCAATGGCATCAGTTAGTGCATGTTCCACAAGTTTTTTACTCTAAAAATCCCACATGTCATCAGTAGGAGTTTCATTATAATTTTATGGAAACTAATGATGTCAAAATTAATATGGTTGTCCTGTAGTAAATAAGTATCATTCAGAAAAATTTGATATTCATAAATGTGGGAAATTTCCTTGTAATATATATCCACATATGCCATAAAAGGGAGAATACTACCACAAGAGGATGTTGCCAGATGAATAAAGCAGAATTGATATTTATTTTTAGTATGTAAACACCATCATTCTTGGGAGATGAACAGATAATGCTTTACCTGGTATCTCAAGAAACTTGAACTCAGTATTCTGCCATTTTTTATGGCTTTGCACAGTTGCGTGATTGTGGTGTGGTTTAACTTTGGATTATTTATCTGCAGCAAAAGTGAAAGGTACCCAGCACCTGCTATGTGTCTGAAAGCCAGCTCTTTGTCACCTCTCCCTGGAGGACCAGGCCTGGGCAAAACACTTTCTTTTTCTGTTCATTTCAACCTTAGAGGGTGTGACATCCATGAAAAGATTGTTGTTTCATTGTCGTTTATTGAGCACAGTGACATCACAGCTAATAAACCTGCCACTTGAAGAGCAAGTAATATTCCTCAATATTTGGTCATCATGAATGGCTGAATTTACATTTCATCCAAATGGGATTTAAGATCCATGAGGCCAGAGAATTTTGTCTATGTTATCAAAATCAATGCATCCTATGCACTTAATATAGTCCCTGGCACAGTGCAATAGATAGTGGGAAAAAATCTGTAGATGGGGATCCCTTTGGGACTTGAACTTCCTATCCAAACCTGGATCTGTGCAGTCTGATCCAAGGGGTTAAATGTATGTTCTGTATTCCTTTTAAACTAAATGCTTCATTGCTGTTACAGACATACTGGACATTGGTCATGTGCAGAGTATGGTTTTTCACATTTTATTTTTTGAGATTTTGTTTTTACTTATTTGAAAGGCAGAGTTACAGAGAGAGAGAGGGATAGATAGGAAGACACTACCTATCTGCTGGCTCACGCCCCAGATGGTTGCAATGGCTAGGACTGGGTCAGGCTGAAGCCAGGAGCTTCATCTGGGTCTCTCATGTGGGTAGAAGTTGTCCAAGTGCTTGGACCTTCTTCTGCTGCTTTCTCTTGCTAAGGTGCATTAGCAGGGAGCTGAATCAGAAGCAGAGCAGCTGGGATTTGAACCTCCACTCTGATATGGGATGCAGTGTCACAGTCAGCAGCTTACCCCTCTACACCACAACCCTGGCCTCCTAGGGTAGTGTTTTGAAGCTTGATCTCTTTCTGGTCCTCTGAAATCACTGTCAAGTCAAAGACCAGTTGTGATATTCATTGTAAGAAAGTGTTATCCAATGGCTCTGTGACAGTTTGAGAAATTGTGTGAGTGTGTATGTTTGTGTATGTGTTCTGAATATGTGTGGATGAAGGAGTTTTGGGGAAAGATTTTAAAAATCCCCACTCCCATATCCTGTGTGCTTTCTTTCAGCATACTCCTCTCCTTTTCAATAGCAGCAGGGGGCAGAGCATCCTCTGAGACAGTTTTATCCCCTTCTTTTCTAAGTCCAGTTTTTAGAATTCACCCCTGAAGCTTTGGATCAAGTTGCTGCTTTGCCTGTGAGAGGCGTTTGCTAGTTCTGATGATGCAGGCAGGGCTGCGGCGTGAACTTTCAGATCATCTTTCCCCCTCTGCCTTTTGGTTTGGACGATGGGGTACGCAGCGGGTAGAGTCATGGCTCCCTTCCTTGGTTTTACTTTAGACCAAGTTAGGGCAGCCAAGGAAAAGAGTGGCGCTCTGTTGGAAATGAAAACATCTCAGACATTCTCAGATCCACAGCAGGGATGTTTATCCAGTGGGAAAGTGGAATAAGCGTGCAGTGCAGACCTGAGCGTCTGTAAACCTTTTTGATCTATGTCTTTAAAAACTTTTGGAGTGTCCTGGGCAAGAAGATGAAGTGTGGTGCTCCAAGGAAGAATGGCCGTTTAGAAACGCAGGATTAGAGAAGTCCAGTCCGTGTCTGTAGCTCACACTCACCCGTTCTGAAACTTGAGTCAGAAGACTGGGACGTGGGTCAGAAGATTAAAAGTTCCAGGCTGTGCCCTGGTCTTGCCAGCTGGGTGACGGGGCAGGTCACGCTTGGCCCCTCTTGGCCCACTTTTCCCCCCTGTCTGCGGATTGGATGTGTGACCTGAATCATGCCACGCACGGGGAAGGACATGCCAATTGTGTGGGAGTCTTTTTTCTAACGTCCCTGCACTTCACCTCCCTTCCCGTTGATGTGAAGGTTAGCCAGCTGAAAAATTAAAGCCATTTCTTGCTGCACGTGCTGTTTTTTCACTTAGAGCTGGTAGAAAGTGTAGGATCAAATTTGTAGGGCACCTTTAGCCTGGACTTGGCTTTCATTTTGTGTGACAGCTGATTTCTCCACCGGGGTCTGTGTTTTTCCTGTTCTTCATCCTAATTTATGGTCTCTGGTTGTATTGTATCTTGATACAAGCAGCGTAAAATCCTTTTGAGAGCAAGTTAATCAATCAAGAACTAACCTAACAGATACATATTGCTGCACCAGTTTGCTTTCCGTTCCTTTGAGTTTTAGGGCAAGAATGGACAACCAAACTGTCTCCTTCCAAGGAGATATTTGGGCTCTGTTACTTGCTCGTCAAAGTCAACCCTAATAGGAACAATAATTCACATTTGAGTGGGAGTGATGGTGAGTTTTGTTAGCTCCTTGATCAAAAATAACCTCAACTTCTTAGCTGAAGCTGTTTACAGTTGGGAGTTGCTACAGGAAAAATGCCCTGAATTAAATGACCATTATTTGTGTTGAAACTGGATATTTGTAATGAAATTTATTTCAAGTTTTTCTGTATGTTATTGAGGAGTGCTCATAGAAAGTATTTTATTACTTCAGGGCAGGTTCTTGTGTAAATGTACTTTGTGTCATCCTTTAGGGTGGCCTGGTTTGGGCCAGTCTTCTGGGTCACATCCAAAAATGGGAAATAGAGACAGGGCCCTGTGGGACTGATGTCAATATTTTGAAAGTTGTTAATATTTTTTCACAGTTTTGTCTTTTTTGCATTGCATGTGATGCTGAATGGTTGTCTCTTTTATTATAAGTCTGAGTTTATTGTTGATTGACTTAATACTAGTTATCTGTATGAATGCTTACATTAGTTTATATACCTGTTATCTATTTAAGAACTTTCTAATGCAAAACCCTGCTGTGCAAAGATGGTTTCAATTTATTGATAGGTTTTTAGCAAATTATTGGTTGGTCTGAGACTCAAGCCATATTCTTTTTTGTAAGTTTATGTTCTTCTACTTGAAGGGCAGACAGGAAAGAGAGGGATCTTTCATACACTGGTTCACTCTCCAAATGCTCTGAAGCCAGAAATGCCATCTAGGTCTCGTATGTGGGTGGCAGGGGCGCAAGCACTTGAACCATAATTTGCTGCCTTCTTGGATGCATTAGCAGGAAGCAGAATTGGAAGCTGATGTAGCCAGGACTTGAACTTGTACCCCAACGTGGGATGCCAGTACCCTAAGAGATGCTGTAATTCATTGCACCATAACACCTGCTCTTGAGTCTATATAATTGTCTCTTAATCAAGGCTATTCAGGGAGCAATTTGTTTTCCCATTTACTGGAAGACTAAAAACATATAAGAGGTTAAGAACCATATCACTCAGCCAAACCCAGATAAGTAAATGTAGGTGTGAGCACTTGGCCTAACAGTTAAGATACCAGTTAGGACTCCTGCATCCCTAACAGTTAAGATACCAGTTAGGACTCCTGCATCCCTGATCAGAGTACCTGGATTTGAGTCCCTGCTCTGGCTCCTGAGTCAGATTCCTGCCAATCCAGACCTTTTAAGTATCTTGATAAAAGCAACATAAAATCCTTTTGAGAGCAAGTTAATGTTAATGAGCAGTGAAGGCTCAGTGGATTCCTGCCATTCAGATGCGATATATGGAGTGAGTTCCCAGCTCCTGAATTCAGCCTTGGCCTAGCCCCTGCTGTTGCAGGCATTTAGGGAATGAAACAGAGATGTTAGCTCTGTCTGTCTGTCTGCCTCTTGAATAAATAAATAAATAAATGTGAATAAATACATAAACATATCTCCTAGTCATGATGTATGGCTCATTTTAGCTTTGTGAATTTAATCTTTAGAGCTCATGGGAGCTACTTGGCAAAAAAAAAAAAAAAAAGTCGCTAACGTTTATAATGTTCTGCTGATAAATTTGTGAATGTAATTCAATGAAATTTATTTTCTTTTTCAGTTCTGTCGGGAGGACCGTTGCCTCAGGGGCATGAATTTGAATTGTATGAAGTTAGATTTCACTGGGGAAGAGAAAACCAGCGCGGTTCTGAGCACACGGTTAATTTCAAAGCGTTTCCCATGGAGGTAAAATAACGAATCATCTTGTAAAAATTTTTGCTGTCCAAGTAAAGTGTTTAGAGATTTACTGAAAAGGGTTTAGCTTAAAAGTAGATGAGCAGCTCATGAATTTTATAAGTTTAGGCTAAGATTAAAAAAAAAAGTCCTTTATGAAATGTAAGCTTGGGGCACCAGTTGAAGCTTCCCTTACAGTTTAATGGCTTGGAGTGTGAACATGAGCAATTGGCCATAAAGGCAATCTGTACTATTAAGCTTCCTCTTACTCTTATGACTGTTGTAAAATTCTGCTGCCTGTGCAAATTCAGTAGGTGCTATGAATAGGTGATGAGCTGAAAACTAGTAACTGTTGGAGAAATCTCAGTAGTGATTAAAAGCTTTTTAAAATTAGCAGGTTGGTTTTATTCACCCTGAACCATTGCAGGGAGAGAGAGAGGATTTTTGGAGAGTGATTCTTTTGGCCAGGACTCCCTCCCTATATACTTTCTTAATGAACTCTTAGCTGTCCTTTCTTCACCAGCCAGTTGTTATCTGTGTCTCCTGTGGACTTTTTCTGAGTTCCTTTCCCAGAAAGAATTCATTTGTCCCTTGCTGTGTTCCCAGGATAGTTGCTAGTTTGCTGCCATAGCACAGAATGGTCTGTGCTATGGGCTAATGAAGACAGGGTCTACTTTTCTTTTCTTTTTTTTTTTTTAAGATTTATTTTATTTGTTTGAAAGTCAGAGTTGCACAGAGAGAGAAGGAGAGACAGAGAGATCTTCCATCCCTGGTTCACTCCCCAATTGGCCACAATGGCCGGAGCTACTCCAATCCGAAGCCAGGAGCCAGGAGCTTCCTCCAGGTCTCCCACACTGGTGCAGGAGCCCAAGGACTTGGGCCATCTTGTACTGCTTTCCCAGGCCATAGCAGAGAGCTGGATCAGAAGTGGAGCAGCCAGGACTCGAACCGACGTCCATATGGGATGCCAGCACTGAAGGTGGTTGCTTTACCTGCTGTGCCACAGCGCCAGCCCCCAGGGTCTACCTTTCGTTGTACTTTTGACCCTCATCACTCAGTACACGGCCAGGAACATTGTGCACAGTGTTGGTTCTGTGTTGGTGAAGTAGAGGGGCTGCCCTTGGCTGCTCAGGCCTTGCTTATGTTTCTTTCCATGAAGAACTCTGTTCCCAGGAAGTCATCCTTTGGTGGCATGTCAAGTGTATTTGGCGGCTGCTGGGATGCCAGCCTTCTGTCTCTGCCATTACCAGCCACACATTATCTACTTAATGTTACATACAGAATTGTCGTGGCTGAAGTTCATTTCTGGAACTGCGCAGTGACTGGAAATCACGACTGTAATTTTATGTAAATGCGAGGTGTACTCTCAAGGATTACATTGAAACGTTTCTCAGCATGACTTTAATCACAATGTTTAAAAAACTCATTTGGAAGCTCATGATATTCCTGACTTTTAAAAAAGGCTGAAGCCCTCAAAGTGATGTGTTCAATGTTTTAAGGACAGAGCAGGGAAAGTCAAACCAAGAAGATGACTTATGGAATGGTGTGGACAGTAGAAGATGGTGCCTAGTCTACTGCCACACCACCCTGAACATGCCTGATCTCATCTGATCTCAGAAGCTAAGCAAGGTCAGGCCTGGTTAGTACTTAGATGGGGAAAGATGGAACCTAAAAGGCCTTAGTGGGGAAGGTGTTCACGCATTGCCTTCCAAGGAGCTGTTTCCTCCATGCATAGAAAAAACCTCTCATCTCCACTGCCTTAAAGCAGTGGCTCTGGCTGCTGCCCTATTCTCAGCCAGCCTGAGAAGGAAGAGTTCATGGAAGGATGTGTCAAAGAGGAGAGAGGATAGAAAATTGCAAATCGCAAGGAAGTGGGCAAGGAGGGAGTCAGGGCATGCTCTGGGTGGTTAGGCCTCATCCTGTTGTAGTTGCTGGTTTGGAAGGCTGTGTCGTCACTGGGTCTCAGTCGATCCTCACAAGAGCACCATAGGAATCAAATGTTTATGGAGAGATGGGCGTCACTGGGTGGGCCAGAGCTTCAGGATGAGACTCCAGTGGCTCTGCTGGTGACACACAGGACTTAGAGCTGTGGGGAGGTTTAATTCCATCCAGGCGGTCAGTTATCGGAGCTCTTTGCTCTGCAGTCACACAGCGTTTCCCCTCCAGATGTTCAGACTGGTCTGGCTACCTAGTAGCGTTTTACCTGCTGCAGTCCACTGAGCACAGCAGGGGTTGGTTTTCATGGGAGACTATGTTTTGGTGGTGAGATTTTGTTTCTGCAGAAATATTTATATTTAGGATAATGGAATTACTGAGTGTAATTTTTTTTTCCCAAATAAGTGATGAATGATACTATTCTTTGTTATCCCAGCTCACCCCTGACCCAGTTGCAGAGAATATACTTCCATGAGTGCTCCTAGAGCTGTGTCTGCTGGAGGGTGTAGGTGCTGTGGGTGAGAATTAGAGGGAGTTCCCTGTGCTGTGGGAAGCTGTGGATACTGAGCTGGATTTTAAGGAGGGGAGTGCTGTTGTGGTGGGGGGAAGCAGGGGAGGGGACTCCCTGTGGAAGAATACTGTCAGAGAGGAACAGGTTAACCAATTCAGTCTTAGGTAGATAAGACTGACAGGAGGTCATGGCCAGTGAGACAGTGCTGAGTAGGGGGACCAGCTACCCTTTGGGGTACATGATTTTTTTTCAGTGTTTCTTTTGAACACTACATAATTGAGGGCAATCCAAATAACATATCCATGCCCCTGTTTCATTTTGTTGATTTCACTTACAGTTAGAGGCATGGTTTGTTAAACAAACACTATAAACAAATATTTACTGTGTCTATTGCTTGTTGACACAGAGGAATGGCTTTCTGTAGGAATCCATCAATGCTTTTCCCCTTGACTTAAAAAAAAAAAGTATGTATTTATTTGAAAGTCAGAGAGAGAGAGAGAGAGAAACATCTTCCACTGCTGGTTTACTCCCCAAATGGCCGCAAAAATGCCAGGAGTCATGTGGATGCAGGGGCCCAAGCACTTGGGCCATCCTTGGCTGCTTTCCCAGGCACATTAGCAGGGGGCTGGATCGAAGTAGAGCAACTGGGTCTCCAACTGGCATCCGTACAGGACACTGGCCTTGCAGGTGGCAGCTTCACTTCCTATGCCACAATGCCTGCCCCACCTTGACTTTTTAAAATGATAAATATGTGTATAACAATGACTCTGAATGTATTTTTGATGTTACAGTCAGTAGCACTGACGCTGCTTTAAAAATTAACACAATCTGTGACTGTGAACAATTTCGGCAGCAGTTCCTTCAACTAACAAGATGGCTAAAGAGTGTCATTTGGTTTCTCCTCTTGAGATCTTTCATTTTCAGAAGCACACATGCCTCTACCACCATCTGATACTTCTCACCATGCTGTCATCTTGTGAACTTGAATTCTGGGGGCCAGTGTTGTGGCACAGCAGGATAAGCTGCCATTTGTGATGCTGGAATCACATATGGCAATGTCAGGTGGAGTCTGGCTACTCCACTTTTGATCCAGCTTTTTGCTAATTGCCTGGCAAGGCAGTGGATGATAGCCCAAGTACTTGGGTACCTGCCACCCAAGTGGGAGGCCAGGATGGCTCCTGGTTTCAGTCTGGCTCAGTTCTGGCTGATGTGGCCATTTGAGGGAGGGAACTAGTGGATGGAAGATCACTGTCTCTGTCTTTCAAGTAATGAAATAGTTAATTTTTAAATTTTACATAATTTTATTTATTTATTTATCTATTTATCCCTAGAAACCTTTTATTTAAGGTATACAAACTTGATGCATTTCATAATTGCAATTTTAAGAACACAGTGATTCTTCCCACTGCACACACACTCCCACTCTTCCTCCTCCCTCTCCTAATTGCATTCTTTTTTTATTAAGATATATTTTAATTAACTTTATACACATAAGATTAACCCTACACTAAGTAAAGAGCTCAACAAATAGTACAGAAATACCCGTTCCTTAACAGTTGAGAAAAGGGCTGTTCAAAGTCATCACATCTCAAAGTGTCAGTTTCACTTCTATAGATTACCTTTTAGGCACTCTATTAGTTACCACAGATCAGGGAGAACATTCGGTATTTGTCTTTTTAGGACTGGCTTATTTCACTAAGTATAATGTTTTCCAGTTGCATGCATTTTGTTACAAATGACAGTATTTCATTTTTTAAAATCTCTGTATAGTATTCCATGGTGTACATACCCCATATTTTTTTTACCCAGCTGAAGAGTTGATGGACATCTGGGTTGATTGCAATACCTGAGCTATTGTGAATTGAGCTGCAAAAACCATGGGGGTACAGATAACTCTTTCATATGCTGATTTCATTTCCTTTGGGTAAATTCCTAGGAGTGGGATGGCTGAGTCATAGGATCAGTCTATATTCAGATTTCTGAGGCATCTCCTTACTGTCTTCCACAGTAGCTGCACTGGTTTACATTCCCACCTGCAGTGGATTAGGGTCCTTTTCCCCCATATCTTCACCAGCATCTGTTGTTTGTTGATTTATGTATGAAAGCCATTCTAAGTGGGGTGAGGTGAAACCTCATGGTGGCTTTGGTTTGCATTTCCCTGAAGGCTAGTGATCCTGAACATTTTTTCAAGTGTCTGTTGGCCATTTGAGTTTCCTCATTTGAAATGTGCCTATTCAAGTCCTTTGAGCATCTTTTAACTGGACTGTTTGTTTTATTTTTGTTGAGTTTCTTGAGCTCTTTATATATTCTGGATATTACTCCTTTATCAGTTGCATAATTTGCAAATATTTTGTCCCATTCTGTCAGTTGCCTCTTCACATTGCTGAGTGTTTTGCAGTGCAGAGGCTTCTCAATTTGATGTAATACCATTTTGGCTTTGATTGCCTGTGCCCCTGGGGTCTTTTCCAAGAACTCTTTGCCTATGCCAATGTCATGCAGAGTTTCCCCAATGTTGTATAATAATTTGATGGTATCAGGTTGTAGATTTAGGTCTTTAATTCATTTT